GGGGGGGGGGAGAATTATCAGTGTGAGAGAGACACATCAATTGGTTGCCTCCTGCATGTGCCCCGACCAGGGCCGGGGATCTAGCCTGCAACTGAGGTACGTGCCCTTGGCCTGAATGGAACCCGGGACCCTTCAGTCTGCAGGCCGACACTCTAACCAGTGAGCAAACTGGCTAGGGCTCTATGAATTTAATGTAGGTACTTCACATAAGTAGAATCATACAATTTTTGTTTTGTTTTGTTTGTGATTGGTTTATTTCATTTAGCATATTATCAAAGTTTTCATGTATAGCAGGTGTCAGAATTTTCTTTTTAAGGCCAAGTAATATTGTATGTATAGACCACATTTTGTTTATCCATTCATCTGGACACTTAGATTGCTTCTACCCTTTGGCTATTGTGAATAGTGCTGCTGTGAATATGGGTATACAGGTAACTCTTTAAGATCCAACTTTCAGTTCTTTTGATATGTACCCAGAAGTGGAATTGTGAGATGATACAGTAATTCCATTTTTAATTTTTTGAGGAACTGCCTTACCATTTGCCATATTAACCACACCATTTTACATTCCCAGCAGCAGTTGCAAAAGGGTTCCAGTTTCTCTACATTCTTGCCAAACCTTTTTGTGTTCTGTTTTTTAATAAAAGTCATCTTAAGCAATATGAAATGTTATCTCGTTGCTTTGATTTACATTTTCCTAATGATTAATGATTTTGAGCATCTTTTCATGTGTTTATTGGCCATTTATATATCTTCTTTAAATATATCTGCTTAAAGCTTTTTAAAAATGTCTGTTTCAGCTCAAATTTCTTTTATCCAAGATATTGGAAGACTTCCTCTGAAGCGACACTTTGGAAGGTAAGCTGATCACTTCAGTTTTCAAAGAGCTATTACTGAAATCTTAATTATGTTATCTATTTTTTTCAGTATACAATCAATAAATGTTATCTGTAAAATCCAAGATATCCATATTGGGCCCAGTGATGAAAGATCATGTGATTTCATTGTAGACCCATCATTTTATTACATATAGAAGCATATTTTCACCAGTTTACAGTGGAATATCAGACTAGATAGAAGCACAAAGGCAGAGGAATCTTTAAAATCATCAAGTTGAACAGATTCCTGCATATTTGGAAGCCCCTTTTCAGTTTTCCTGTCAAGAGACTTTCTTGCCTGTGTTTGAAGCCTGCAGTGACCAAGAACTACCTCAAAAGCACTCTTTTGTTTCCTTATCATAGAGAATTCAGACAAGTGAGAAAATATAGATGCTATAGGGAGATAAACCTATATCTATACCATTCATCTTCCTGCAAAATTGTTTCTGAGCTACTATCAGTGATTAACACAATACCTGTATTTCATTTCTACTTAGCTTATTTGTAAGGTCAGGTTATGCGCTCGGGCATTTATTTATTTAATCCTCACCCAAGGATATTTTGATTTTAGAGAGAGAGGAAGGGAGAGGGGGAAAGAGGGAAACATCGATTGGTTGCCTCCCATACACACCCTCACTGTTGATTGAATCTGAAACCTAGGTATGTGCCCTGACTGGGAATCGAACCCACAACCTTTTAGTGTACGAGATGACACTCCAACCAACTGAGCCACCTGGTCACAGCTGTACCCAGGCAATTAAAAAGATTAAAAGGGGTTGATCACTGTTATTGGTTCAACTTCTTGATCTGACTTGGGAGGCAGGATTTGTCAGTGCTACTTATAACAATGATCAGTACTGTTATCTTTCATTTATGGTGACCACAGTTAACATTATCTTTGATTCGTGGTAATAATATTAAATAATATTTAGCTTAGTATTTAATATTTTAATAGCTGCATAGTTTCCTATAATTCAACCTGCACCTTATTTCTGTACATTTAGCTTACTCTTCCTACTTTTACCACAGCCTTTCTTATAGCTGAATCATCATGTATATCAAATACTATTTACATAGGATGGATGCCTAGAAATGAAATGGCTGAATCATCAAATATACATCTTTCTGAGGCCTTTGCTCTATGCTGCCAGATTGCTTCCAAGAATATGGTGACAGTCGTATGCCCTTTTACAGGGTATCACCATGTTCTTTTCTCCTAACTCTCGCTACCAGTGGGTTTTATTATTTTAAAGGAACTTTGCCAGTTTAAAAGATAAGAATAGTAGCTTTTTTACATATATATTTTTTTACTTTAGAGAGAGAGAGGAAGGGGGAGAGAGAGAAACACTGATTTGTTCCACTTACTTACACATTCATTGGTTGCTTCTTGTATGTGCCCTGACCTGGGATCAAACCCACAACGTTGATGTATTGGGACAACTCTCTAACCAACTGAGCTACCTGGCCAGGGCTAGTAGCTTATTATTTTAATTTCCATTTTGAACAATTTATTTAGTTACCATTGGTATTTTTTCTATAAGTTGTTCATGTTTTATGCCCATCTTCTCTATTTTTTGTTTTTAGTTTATAAGGACTCTTTACTAAAGAGATTGTTCAACTCATTTGTACCATAAGTTGTAACAGTTTATTCAGTTTGTCATTTACCTTGTACTTTTGTTTATATTGTTAAATAAGCTAAAGGGCCTGGCTAAGTAGTGAGCAGGGTGAAGGTAAATGGAAGCTACAGGAGATGGCTTCATAATCTTCAGAGTCCAGTACAATTTAAAGGACTCTCCTCTGGTTATTCTTAATGCCTCCATTATCAACCTGGCAGGTTAAACATGGAAGCCCTGACTGACAGGGAGCTTGGACTGATAGACCCAGAAAGCGGCGATGGAGCCCCGCTGAATGCAGCACAGCCCACAGAGGAAGCTCTGGGCGAACCCACTCTCAGCGCGGAACCTGCGGGCTGGCCGCTCCCCCTGAGTCAGAGCAGCGGGAGTGACCTGCCCGCCAGCCAGCCGCAGCCCTTGGCCCCGGGCGACGCGGACGACGAGGACCTGACCATAGAAGACTATGAGAGCGACGGGGCGTAGGGCGGCGGGCGCTGCTGCCGGCCGCCTCGCGCAGCCTCATTCAGTGGTGCTTGAACAGAGACAGTACACTTTTAAGTGAATTGCAGTGTAAGTCTCCACTTTTGTAGTATTTCAGCACAAGAAACTGACTCTTGAAGTAAATAGAAAAGCCTTCAAAGATATCCTAATTTTCCTCTAGTATTTATTTAGTCTTGTGAGTGGTGTTGAGAGAAGAGGCCAGTGTGTGAAGTGTGTTTGAACATCATGCCAAATACCACAAAATGTGAAGGAATAACTCAATTCAACAAGTTTATGGGGTTGTAAATATGAATTATAAAAGTTTAGTATGCAGTTGTGAGTGTAAATAAACTTTGTGCCTTAATCATAGTTTCTCTATGGTCTCTAACTTCTCGGATACCTTTTTATATGTTGTACAGTGGAATGTTTTGGATACTTTTTGGAAAGTATTACATAATTTATACCAAAATTAAAATATTGAATTTCTTTTTGTTTCTCCTATCTTAATATTTCCTAACATATCAATCTCCCTCATCCAGAGTCAAACTTTTTTAAAAACTAGGGAAGACAATGGCCGCCTTCCGAGAGCTCCCGGGAGGGGTTAATCACACCCCACCTACCTTTCCCAAGGTCTCAAGCGGAGCCTGGTGGAGTGCGGGGAAG